TGATCATCCATCCACCCATCCATCCATCCATCCATCTGATCATCCATCCACTCATCCACCCATCCATCCATCTGATCATCCATCCACCCATCCATCCATCCATCCATCTGATCATCCATCCACTCATCCACCCATCCATCCATCTGATCATCAATCCATCCATCCATCCATCTGATCATCAATCCATCCATCCATCCATCTGATCATCCATCCACTCATCCACCCATCAAACCATCTGATCATCCATCCATCCAACCATCCATCCAACCATCCATCCATCCATCATCCACCCATCCATCCATCTGATCATCAATCCATCCATCCATCCATCCACCCATCCAGCTGATCATCCATCCATTCATCTGATCATCCATCCATCCATCCACCCATCCATCTGATCATCCATCCATCCATCCACCCATCCATCTGATCATCCATCCATCCACCCATCCATCCATCTGATCATCCATTCACTCATCCACCCATCCATCCATCCATCCATCCATCTGATCATCCATCCACCCATCCATCCATCCACCCATCCATCTGATCATCCATCCATCCATTCATACATCCNTCCATCTGATCATCCATCCATCCATCCATCCATCCATCTGATCATCCATCCATCCATCCATTCTCTGGCTCTTGAATGTTCTCTGTAATATTTGGAACATGGGTGTGTTGTGGACCTTGTCTCTGTCCCGGAGCAGCAGAGGGACGGTTTCTGTCCTCCAGGTTCTGGTCCAGATAAACATTAACCCAGCAGACTTTGACACCTGCAGCAGCTGCTGCAGCTCGACTCAGAGCTTACAGTCAGTCTGCAGCAGCTTCAGAGGAAGAAGCCCCCAGCTGGACCTGCCCGTCTGCCGGATCCTCCCAGGCAGGACACACATTGGCTCCGCAGCAGGAGGTGTGCGTGCAAGCCCCGCCCCCACGGCGGTCAGAAAGGCCCTGGCCCCGCCCCCAGACGTCAGGACGGTATAAGAGGAGTGAGGAGCGTTTCTCTCGTGGCGCTTCTGCAGGAAGCACCACCCGATCCGAGTCTGTCTCCGCTCCTGTTGCCGTGGATACCGAGACATGCTATTCTGCCACCCGCAGCCTGAGTCCTACCAGCAGCTGCTGCAGCTTCAGCAGCAGCAGCTGCAGCACTCCACCAGCTACATCAGGTAAGCTTCACCTTGCTCCAGACTCGGTCTGTTTCTGCTGAATTTCTGGAGTTTTTTTCCTGTTTTTTTCCGACTTTTATTGTTTATTCTGAGAGTCTGGAACCTTTGCCCCTCTGATGAGTTGATTAGATAAAGCTGAAGGCAATACGCCGTTTTTCTATTATTGGAACATTTATGGCCCGTTATGTGAGCGCAGAGCTGCAGTCAGGACGCGTCTCCTCCGCCCTGTCCTCCAGGGACGCCCTGGCGCCCTTCCTGAAGACCGAGGAGGCGCGGCTCCGGGCGGACAGCGGCGCCCGGCGCCCGCCCTTCCACTACGTCCTGTGCGCCGCCACGTCTCCGGCCGTCAAGCAGCAGGAGGAGACGCTGACCTACCTGAACCAAGGTACCGTCCCTCTGGATCCAATCGGGACCAGCCGACAACAACCTGGAGGATTGACATAATTATTGAAGAAATCAATTAATCCATTAATTGGATAAAAACATTTAACACTTTAGCTCATTGTGTGCAATATTAAAATGCAAATAAACAAATAATTCAATTAATTTTAATAATTGTTGATCATCTGCAGCTAAATATCAACATGAGGAAAACTGAACACCAGTAAAGTATAAATACACACATTTCTAATTTAAAAACTTTAAATTAATATTTAATATGATTTAAAATGGAAACACTTAAAAAGTAATCTGAGATATAGAAATTCAATAATAAATGTATTCTGCTGAATTATGCTAGAAATAATGTTTGTTCACATTAAAATGTAAGACCAGAAGTTTACATACAGCCGTTTTCTGGATGAATGCTGCTTGAATCTGTTGAATTTTATTACAGATAAAATGATAAAAAACGAGAAGCCAGGTCCAGATATTTACATACCCCAGAGAAACATTTCTCCCTCTGAAAACTGGACCAGAACCAAACCAGTAGAACCAGTCTGGACCCTCAGCATCAGTCTGCCGCCACCATGCAGCTGCAGACTGAATCCTTTTCCAGATGTTCTTCTGGTCCAAACGGGACTGGGGTGTATGAATATATCTGACCCTGTCAGAAAATCTTTCCCCCTAAATATGATTGAAATAAATGATTAAAGGTCCAGAAACGATGAAACGGTGAGCTCCAGGTTCTGCAGAACCTCACGGGTCCAACATGTTGGTTCTTCATGTTTATTATGTTTCCTCTTCCTTCCTGTCTCTCTGTGATCGGTTCTGTCTGCTTTCTGCTAAACTCCAACTGGTCCGAATCAGAACCTCCATTTACTTCGACCAGAACCCTCCAGGTGTTCTGGAGGTTCTGTCTGTGGAGAATCATCTACCTTCAGGGAACAGAGTCCCCAAAGCTGCTTTCGGCTCCCTTTGGACCGGACCGGACCGGGTTCCGTTCCGGGAACGCGCCTCAGAATGCTGACAGTTTGAAGATGATGATTATTTTCTGCGAGAGTTGGACAGATTTGTTTTGCTCCAGCTGTTGGGTGAACTGGACCCAGACACAAAGCAGCTGAAACGAGCCGGGTCGGTTCTGTCGGACCGTCACCTCCTCCTCTGGAGGCTCCCGGCTCCATCTCAGGGCAGACGGGAGCCATGATGGGGCGGCTAGGCAGGAAGAAGTCTCCTCCCGGCCCGGTCCGGAGCCGTCCTGGCCTCCTGGTCTCGGTCCAGTGTGAAGGAGCTTCTCCGTGCCTCAGGTTCCTGTTTCAGACCTGTTGGAGTTACTATCCTTGGCTGGCCTTCATGTCGGGCTCTCAGGGTTCCTGCAGTGATTCAGTTTCCATCTCCTCTGTTCTGATTGACTGATTTTCCATTTATTAAATTTTAATCAGGTTTTCTTTAATGTTTTAATATGTAGGTCAGTCCTACGAAATCCGTATGCTTAACAGAAAGCTAGTGGAGTATTCAGATATAAGCAGCAGATATGTGAAGGTAGGTGGAAGCCTCCATGTTGTCTGTTTGTTCATGTCTTCTCTGCTTCTCGTTCTCGTCTGTTTCTCCACTGTCTCGGTTTGTCGCGGGTCCCTGAACGCACCGTTCCCTCTCCGAGGGCCGGTGGCAGCTCAGTGCTGTCGCTCCTTCCTCTCCTTCTGCTCCGCCTTGCCGGGCTTTCTCCACGCTTGGCTCAGATGCTTCCTCCAACCAAAACTCCTGAAGAAAACCCGGCAGCTGCTCTGCAGCTCTGTGTTGAAACTGTGTTGAGGCGATGAAGGCCGCCTCCTGCCTGAGGAGGGGCTGCAGGTCCGGTCCGGCCGGTTCTGAGTGAGCGGACCTGTGGGACGTTCCTGCGTCGGCAGGCTGGCTGCCGCTCGCTGCTTCCTGGAAGTAGAAACATGTGGCAGCTGAGCAAACCAGGAGATGTTTGACTGCTCCGCAGTCATGCATGGGGCCTCCCTCCATAAACGTCTCCATGGTGATGCTGCTGATGTCATCAGCAGGTTCTGGTTCCTCTCAGAACCAACATGGTTCATGGGAACAAGACAAAGAGGACAGATGGAGTAGAACCTGGAGTCAATCTGGGTGGAGGCTCCAGTCTGTCCTCACCTGTCTGGCACCATGAGTCCTCAGCAGCTGATTGGTCCTCCAGAACCAATCAGACGGCGAGGCTCTGGCTGATCTGGCTTTATTCTGAAAGGAGCTGAACTTCCTGTGAATTTCTCCTCCTTCATTGAGGCTGATGATGTGACTGAGTGAATCCAGGCGTTCCCCCGCCCTTTGACCTGCCGCTGCTTCTCTGCAGAGCATCGTGCGCATCGTGTTTCACGACCGCCGGCTGCAGTACATGGAGCACCAGCATCTGGAGGGATGGAGGTGGAACCGCCCCGGAGACCGGATCCTGGATATAGGTGAGCTCATCCAGAACCTGCCTGAACCCCGACAGGTTCCTCTAAAGACGCTCTGGTTCATCGTGAAGGGAGAGGAACCGACTCCACCGTTAGATATCAGGCTCAGCGCTGCAGCTCCACTGCGCATAGGGAGCCGACGGGCAGGTGGGTCGGGCTTATTTCATTATGTTTCCCTTGTTTTCAGCTCACTTTGTCACCAAACAAATGCCCTGGAAAGCCCTGAATTAAAGGTCATTCCTGCTCAGTGGGTGACCTTTGACCCCTCCCAGGTTGATGAACAGCAACAGTTGCTGCTCTGAGATCATTGCTGGAGTCATCGACTTCCTGCTTCACTCTGATGATGATGTTTAGGACTCTGGGTGCGTTCTGACCTTCAGGTTGAGGATCGCTAACCGGACTGCTGTCCTTCCTGCAGATGTTCCCCTCTCCGTGGGGATCCTGGACCCGCGTTCAGACCCTCTGCACCTCAACACCATCGAGTTCCTCTGGGATCCCTTGAAGAACGCTTCTGTCTTCATCCAGGTGCGGATGGACCTTTGTAGAATGCTACTGCCAGCGTTCCTGCTCTAGTCTCACTCCGTGTTTCTCCACAGGTCCACTGCATCAGCACCGAGTTCACCCCCAGGAAGCACGGCGGGGAGAAGGGCGTGCCGTTCTGCATCCAGGTGGACTCCTTCACCTCCAACGACCAGGGGGAATACGTGGAACACGTTCATTCGTCCAACTGCCAGGTCAAGGTCTTCAAGGTACTCAACCTGGCGAGCGGCGCCCGGCCGGCTGCGTTCAAAACGCTCCAACTGTCTCATCCTGTGTGTGAAGCCCAAAGGAGCAGATCGCAAGCTGAAGACAGACAGAGAGAAGATGGAGAAGAAGACGCCTCAGGACCGGGACAAGTACCAGCTGTCCCATGAGACCACCCTGCTGAAGGAGGTGAGGATCAGAACCAGCCGCTCTCTGATTGGCTGCTGGGCTCAGCAGACAGGATGACATCATCACAGGGTTTCAGTGTCTCTGAACACGAAGCGGATCAACAGGTTCTGTTAATCTGGTTGAGCTTTAACTGGATCAGAGACATTCTGTAGTGTTGGACCAGTAGAACCAGCAGGAAGCCTTTGGTCCCAACACAGTTCTGCTCCTGAGCAATCAGCTGGTTCTGGTTCTGTGCTGAAGCCTAACTGGGCGGTTTGTCCTCTGTCCCAGTGCTCCCAGTGGCCTGAAAGCCTGAACCTGAGCAGCAGCAGCACTCCGTCACCCGTCTGCCTCAGCTCGCCCTGCGGCTTCACGGACGGGTAAGTCGGAGCCGAGCTTCTCCTTAGTGTGGAGGGAAGAGATCAGAGATCCTGACGTCTGATTGGCTGCTTCAAGTCAACATAACTTAGTCTGCCATGTCTGAGTCTGAGGCCGGTGTTTTCCCTGAAATGCAGAAATAACTTCAGTATCAGAACTAAATATCTGTAATTTATCACCGATAAACTGAGCACTAGCTGCTGGAAGCTAGCAGGCGGGGCTAACGGCCAGCTAGCTACCAGCTAGCTACCAGCTAGCTACACAGTCAAATAAAAAAATATCCCAATGAAACAAAAACTAGATGAAAATTATGGGGATAGTTTATTAATCAGTTTGTCTCTTGATTTATTCCAGGCTTCATTGTTTATTTGTTTCATAACGAGTTTAATTCATGAAGCTACTTTACGTATTTTATCAATTAATATTTTATAAGTTTTATTTTCTTTATTTCATGTTCTTATTTTCAAGTGAAGGAGCGGAGTTTTCTCTGGCTCCCATTAAAATGTTTTTTTTCATTTATTTGGTTTTTCTGTCAATAACAGTATCTATCTATCCGTCGGGTTCTGTGATTTGGTTCTGTTGGACCCGTGTTGCCATGGAAACTGGTTTTCTTCTGCTAACTGAGGACGACGTTGTTTTAATGAAAGCTGAAACCAGTTCAGCTGACCATCTACATTTGTTTACACATGAGTTACGTTTTATTGTGAAAGATTAATTCTGTTTCCTGTCGGATCCAAAAGTCCAGAACCGCCAAGGGGAAGAAAAATAAAGTTTTTAACCTTTTTCACAAACTGAATTCTGAGGGCGGTTTGCATTTGCGTTCTCGAGTGAGAACTATGAAAACCTCCAGAGAGTGTGTGGGTTGTCTGGCCTTTGACTAGGCCATGAGGCTGCTTTGATCTAAAGCAGCGGTGGGCAATCCTGGTCCTGGAGGGCCGGAGTCCTGCAGCTCTTAACGTCTCCCTGGTCCAGCAGCTGAACCTCCTCCTCAGTACATCAGGTTCTGCTGACGACCTCAGGATTCGACTCAGGTGTGTTGAAGTGGAGACGCATCTAAAAGTTGCAGGAGGCCGACCGTCCAGGCCTGGAGCCACCCACCCCTGACCTAAAGCATGCCTCAGTTTTCAGGTTTTTATCAGAAACATCCCATCATTTTCCTTCAACTTGACAGTTTTCCGTTCCAAAAATCACTGAAGGCTGGAACTGGACAAAATGTGACCGATGGTTGATGAGGTGTAAATACTTTCCAGCACTGCGTAGTGAGAACTTCAGCCTCTTAGGGCTGATAAATATAAAACATTCAAGTTGAAATATAAAACTTGCAGCTAACTGGTGCATCTGATGCAGGAACATAAAAAACTTCAAAAATTAATATTTTCCAAAACTATCTAAGGTGCAAAAAAGCTAAAAGTTGCCTGAGCTCTAGGAGAGACGGGTCAAAGGTCCAGGCGTCCTGGAGGCGCCTGCAGGAACCAGGAGGGAAACGTTTGCAGCAGAACCAGCAGCAGAACCAGAACCAGCAGCAAGCTATTGATTCATCCGAGTGTGAAACAGAGAGGAAGAGGAAGAACTTCAGGTTATTCATCAGCTCCGGTTCTGACTTCTGGTCCTGTTGGTTCTGTTGGACCCATTAAATCAGTCTCATCCTCTGATTGGCTAAACACTAAAGGTGCATTCAGAGTAACTGGATCCTCTGGGCTTCAGGGTTTGGTTTCCCTCCAGAGCTCCTGTAGTAATACCTCACAGGGCCAGAAGGGGGCGATGCAGCCAATACTATTGTTCTGGTTCAGAAGTAAAAACCAGCAACTTTTCATGCAGTAACTGAACAATAAGTTGTGATTGTGGCGAGTGGTGCAGGCGAAGCAGAAAGTCAATCACTTCCTGTGTTTTTCTTCCTCATGCTCATGTTTCTATAGCAACTGTTCTCCGAAGCAGCAGGCGGAGGTGTTCATGCCTGGCGGCTCGGATGTAAGTGACTGGGTGCAGCGTTAAATGCTTAATCCTGCTCTCTTATCTCCTTTAGGCCAGTATTTGGAGAAAGTGGATGCTGTGCAGCAAAACTCATTTCAAGGACTCTTCTTCTTTTTGACATGTAGCATCTTCTGCCGTCGTCGCCGCCGCAGGACGCTCAGCGGTGGCTGCAGCGCCACAGGTTCTCGCCTTTCTCTAGGCTCTTCTCCAGCTTCTCAGGTACAGTGGCAGCGGTACGGGGCGGGGTGGGAACCGCAGAGCCCGGCTGGAAAATAAACTGGAAATCACTTCGACGTCCTTTAAATGGACATCTCTAAAGGTCAGAGGTCATTGGGGTAAAAACCGAAGACATTCTCCACATATCAGGCAAACGCTAAGCAAGCTACAGCATCAGTGAGTCTAGCTCAGTGTTTCTCCACCTGGTCCTCAGCCCCCCTGCTCTGCGTGTTTTAGGTGAGCCTTTATTCCAGAACAGCTGATTCAAATGACTGCAGGACCATCAGGAGCTGCAGATCCTGTTAATCACCCAGAGACACAATCCAGGTGGCAGAAGAGAAACACCTGAAACATGGAGGACAGGGGGCCTGAGGACCAGGGTGGAGAAACACTGATCTAGACTGACTCACTGAGGATTGGTTGGTTTCTGGTGGTTGTTATTTTTGTCCTGAGGTCAGAGTTGCTAGCCTCTGTCGGTGGTTTAAAAGCTGCCTGATCTCCGGTCAGAGGAAACGATGAGTAGTAGGACAGACGCCGTGTGTCGGACTGGAAGCGGTCCAACAGAACCTGAGAAAACGGGACATGTTTTCCAGCAGTCAGGAGCTGAACGTTAGAGACGCTCCAATCAGTGGCCTGGTTCTGATTAGCTATCAGCAGGTCATATTCTGGTACGTCTGTAGAGCCTGGTGTAACAGCCTCAGTTAGCCGAAATGCAATAAACAGCCAGCATAAAATTAACAATATTTATTAGTACAAAATGGTGTGTATTTGCAAAAAAACAAACAAAAATGAATGAAAAACAAGGAAAAATGAAAATCAAACTCTAAAAGAACAGTAGGGTGCAGCAACAACTGCAAAAAAACAAAAATTAAACGCTTATTAAATCTTTGCAATAAAAATACAATTAAATCCAGTTAAAAAATATAAAAATCCTACCTGCAGCATCGAACAACCACACCCCCAGGTGATGCTACCATCAGATCATCAATAATGACAGAGTGGCCCTATAAAAACACCCTGTCAGCACTGACTTAATACGATCAGATTAAAAGAATTTTGTCCTTACCACAAAAACAGACAAACCTCATTAGAAACAGTGGAACGCACAGAGGAGATTGACAATTGGCCACTTGCCTGCCAGCTTCCCTTTTATGGGAGCTCAAGGTGTGGAGAGAGCGACACCTACTGGTTCCACCTGTTACACTGAGGCAGGTCGGGCCCGGCTGCCAGCAGAACTTGTAGCTTTTGCTCGTGTTGCAGGAGCCGACCTGCTGAGGATGAGCAGAGCGGATCTGATCCAGATCTGTGGTCCGGCTGACGGCATCCGGCTCTTCAACACCATGAAGGGAAGGTGAGGCGCCGCGATGAGCTTCTTCATCACGCCAGAGAAACGCTGCCGGTTCCGGAGGCATCAGATAAAACAACCGAGGCGCCTGATTCTCAGAACTAACGTCGGTTTGTGCAGCAGCTGGAGAAATGTGCACTTAGCCCAACATCCCAATCGATAGCTGGAAACTTTTTCTTTCACAATCCATGCAGTCCAACAGAACCCACTGGTTCCATATGTAATCCCACCGGCCCGATTGGAGCGTCTGTCCAAACAGTACATGTGGAATTCGTGCTGTCCATTTAGTCCATATAGATCAGGGGTCCCCAAAGTGGGTCCTGGAGGCCCGGCATCCTGCACATTGCAGTTCTCTCCCTGGTGGTAACAACGTTTTCAGCAGGTCAGGGTTCCTCTTAGGCCTCGAACAGCCATCATTTGATCCAGGTGCGTTAAACCAGGGAGAGACTAAAACATGCAGGATGCCGGGCCTCCTGGACCCACTTTGGGGACCCCTGATATAGATAGAATCCATTGGACCCAATAGGTTCTATTGGACCCAATTGAGTCCATTAGACTCCATCCGGTCCACATCTTCCATTCAGCGCATTTGGGTCGGTCCAGCCTGTTGATCCCGTTGCCTCTCTTGTCCAGGAGTGTCCAGCCCAGCCTCACCCTCTACGTGTGTCAGCAGCAGCAGAGTGGCGGCCCGGCGGCCATGACGCCCGGCGGCTCCGACGGTGAGCGTCTTCCTCTCTTCTGGCTCGTAACAAACATTTACTCATCTTCAGGCTACAGCACAGAAACCATTCACTTCTCACGTGAAGAACCTTTGGGACCCAGCTGGTCGGGTTTCACATTAGACATGTTCAGGGCTGGCATTGGACCAGAGGAGATGTCACCAGTTTAACCAGTCTGCCCAGTAACAGTGAACTGTTTGCTCCTCTGCTGAATTAAATATTTTCTGATATTCATCTTCAGTGGAGCGTCTGCACCTCAGCAGCGCTCTGCGGGTCGGATTCAGACATGATCTGGACCTGCAGCAGCTTTCTCACTCTTAGCCTGCGAATGAAGTCGGCTTGCTGTGTGCAGTCCAGGGTTTCCCCCAATGTATAAGCCTGGCAGCCCGCCATGCTTTACTAGCTCCCCCACCAGACTAAGCATTGCTTGTTTTTGCTTTTAAGAAAATAATAATTTAGAAAAATAATCACTTACTTTTCTTTTTTTTTTTTTTTGCCGGATTGCAAGCATCTGTTTCTCTGAGCATTTCAGTGACAGAGCAGATTTGTTCCTAAAAGATATGTTTATAGAAGATAGGTTTATAATTGATGCATTTAAAGCCGGGAGAGTGGACCAATCAGGCGCTGCCGCTGCTTTATGTCTAAAGTTTACCTCAGTGCGGGTCGCACGCTCCTCCCTTCACTCAAACTGGACACAGGCTGACCTGTATGGATGTTTACATCAACCCCCTGTGAGGAATTGTGATTCTCTGGAGAACTCCACATCAAGGTAGGAGTCTAAACCCGCCTGTTAGCTCTGGTTGAGCAGCTCTACGTGAACCGCAGGAATAACGTAGTCACTTTCAGAGGAGTTGAGGAGCGCTGAGAATGATTTATATTTGTGAACAAAGAATTATACGCAGCGTTTCCATCTCAACACGCTGCCCAGCGTGTGGCGCTGTCTGCCCTGTAAAGTTCATGTCTGTGGTCCCGGTTGGTCGGCGCGTTAGCGGCTAACGAACCAGCGCTAACCTCATCATGCAGGTTCA